CCTGAAGCCTTGAAGACGTGAAGACCTGAAGCCTTCTGACGACCTGACGCCTTCTGCCGACCTGAAGCCTTCTGACGACCTGAAGCCTTGAAGACCTGAAGCCTTGAAGACGTGAAGACCTGAAGCCTTGAAGACCCGAAGCCTTCTGACGACCTGAAGCCTTCTGCCGACCTGAAGCCTTCTGACGACCTGAAGATTTGAAGACCTGAAGCCTTGAAGACGTGAAGCCTTCTGACGACCTGAAGCCTTCTGACGACCTGAAGCCTTGAAGACCTGAAGCCTTCTGACGACCTGAAGCCTTCTGACGACCTGAAGCCTTGAAGACCTGAAGACCTGAAGCCTTGAAAACCTGAAGCCTTCTGACGACCTGAAGCCTTCTGACGACCTGAAGCCTCCTGACGACCTGAAGCCTCCTGACAACCTGAAGCCTTTTGACGACCTGAAGCCTTCTGACGACCTGAAGCCTTGAAGACCTGAAGCCTCTTCGTGTCTTCGTGTCTTCGCGTGTCTTCGTGTCTTCGCGTGTCTTCGAGTCTTCGTGTCTTCGCGCAAAAGTCACAACCCGCTTCTGCCAACGCAATGCTTGTGGCTTCCAAATACTTCAGGTGGTGTGTACACATCTCTTAAGTGTATCATTATTCAGCTATATTCAGCATAGTCCTTTTTCTAGCTTTTGGTATGACTTTATGTTGATAGACTATGGGTCTGCTTCAGCACAATGAGGCAATCTGAACCAGAAACATGGTGCCGCACCCCGCCACCACTGCGCGCATGTTGCACGGTGGGTACCGACATTGTCGCTTGTGAAGGAAAAAGGAATTGCATCCTGCCTTGAAATTCATGGAAATATACCGTTTCCGGTAGTCCTTGGCCTCAAATAACCTGTTGCAAAACTAACCCCCTAAGGCAAAAACAACACATGGGGCCGCGGTACCAAAAACCATGATGCAAGCACTCTGATTCTGCTTCAAATATTTGTGGATATATACCGTATATAGCTTCCATAGCTCATCTTGACTCTCCAAGTGACAACTCTCCTGGTCCAGGAGTTGAATCCTGCGCCGGGTTTCTTCGCCTGCGACCTCCCGAGACGTGGACCCCACATCGGCACAAACTGCGATGCTGAATCAATGCTGGAGCAGGGACATCTAAGCATTTAGACCTTTCATGACCTTTCTATACCTTTGTTATCCTTTATCCTCAGAAAGGTAGGTCCTTTCTTTTTGTTCTTTTCTGTCTTTAGACCTTTAGAACTGTTTTCATCTCCTTGTTTGCACGGCTTCAGGTCCCCTCAGCGCCCTTGGCCTTGGTGGGAAATTCAGGCAGGACACCTGCAATGATCGCCACCGTCCATCCAAAGAAGGCAACCACAGCCTATAGCAATCGCCACGTTCATCATCGTCAAATGGCATCCATCACCCATCTCATGCTCTAAACACAGCCACCGAACCAAACTGAACACAATCTCCATCTAGCTGGACGCCACAAATACTAGCATGGTTTCAAGAGATGCTGTTCTATAGGTTGAGATAGATTGAATAGGCTTCTTACTTGCTTCGTTGAGTTTGCTAAGCTCTTGCACGGAGCCTGGCCTTGCTTGCCCACCGCACTCGGTCAGGTGTCAAAGGGTCGGGGCCAGCAAAGTACCTGAGTATTGGATGAGTCTGAGCCGCTGGTGAGATGTGCGAGGCAAAGTTCAAAGGCTAGGGCCTGAGGTGAAAAACAGGTGAACGGTTGGTTGCTGCACCAGTCATTATGAGGAAGCTACCACATCCCTCCGGAGGTCCACAGGGAGGGCAAATTTGGAAAGACTCGAGCATACTGCACACTTATGATTATAAAATATATACTAGGGCAACCGATGCTTGATGCTGAGGTCTACATAGAACTACTTTCAAGCAACCACATCTTCATCATCTTCTTCCCTCTTCAGCTGCAGTAAGTAAGTGCAATGATAGTGCATTGAGCACAGCTACTTGCGGCAAATGTAGTCAATGAGCTTCGCTTGCTGAAGTAGTCCGTCCAAATTGATGTTCCGAGCACGCTTTAGGAAGTCAATGCGAACTACAGTGCGCAGCACATCGCTCCAATCACAAGGCGCTAAGGAAGTGGGTTGCGTTAGCAACAAATGGACCACCTCCATCACACGCGCCACTTCACGGGGGGGATGTTTCAATTGCTTCACCTCCTCAATCTCCTTGTTGGTGATATCTGCCAGAGGATGCAGCTCAGCCTCCTGGCAAGGTCTTGTCACAGAAACTACTGTAACAGCTAACACTATAGACAACAAAGAGCTGTGGATATCCAGGGGGTCCTGGGTGTCTCCGGGTCTCTGACAGAGTGCAATGATGAGAGTGAACCAAATCAAGTTGGTGCCGCATTAAGAAAAAAGGACTCCCTGTCCTCGCCACCAGCTCTCCGAACTGCAGCAAAAACCTGGGGAACATCCTCCATGTCTCGCTTGAGAGCCTCTAATCTCTCTGCCTGCACACACTCCGACCCCCCAGCTCCACACTCCACAAGTGTGAAATTGATATGGTGGCCACAATCCTATGTGGAACAGCTTGGCGTGGCTTTGCCTCCTGCAGGATTGTCTCCGCAAACGGGGCAAGTCTCGAGCATGGCTCAGGACCCACAATCCAAGCCACACGTTAAAAGAGTCTATGCCACGAGCTATATACTGTAAGTCTTCTGCCCCTTACAGTAATGTTTGCCACTGGGTCCACCAAACATAATGCAATCTTCTTGTTGAAACTCGCCCACAAACAAAAGAAAGGGACACACGGTCACTCAAGTCTTCCATAGTCTTCCAGCCCTGCGACTTGTTAAGCCACAACAGCTTCAAAATACACAGTCGAAGGGCACTGGACGCTGCAAGGCATCCCAATTTCAACCACTGCTTCCTGGTGAAAATTCATGAAAAGTCGCTCCCGGCCACATTGTCTTGCTCACCGCAGAATTCCAGTGGTTGGATCAACACCTTGGAAACGAGCATCTAACTCCTCAGTGTACGTCGGACAACTGCGTGGACCTTCCACACAGAAGCTCCGCTCTTTCTTCTTGCGGCCCTGACCATAGGCCCGGCTGGTGATTTTCATTCGGGCTCCACAGGGGCAGGTCATTCCGCGAAAGGATTTGTTGCTTTGGTAGTCCCACAGAGTGGATTCAATGCTCCACTTGTGGCCGACACCCACACCGGGTGATTCCTCGTTTCGATGCGAGACGGCGACTTTGGCATCGGCCGGAAGGTCTTTAGGTTCTACACACTCACGCCGCGCGATTGATTCCAAGAACTCCCGTGAGCCTTCCTCGACCAACGGATCATTTTCGAAGTAGTACACCCGTGCATCTGGATGCCTTGCACGACCCGCCCCCTGCACATGACTCTTGGCGCTGTTGAAGGAATCGTAGCGGATCACGTAGCGACACATGGGCACATCCAAACCCTCCTCCAGAGAGGATGTGGCAACCAACAACTGAGTCTCACCTCGGAATGAAGCCAGATTGGACTGCCGAGTGGGCCCATCCATTCCTTGGACTCCCGCCACATGCAAGGCCAGCACGCCTAAACGAGAAGATATGAGTCGTGCCATACAGCAAGCCACAGAAACTCGTTCCACAAAGACCAGAATCTTGTCCTCCCCATCTCGAAGGAGTTGCTCAAGCAGAGTTAACAACGTCTGACACTTCCCAGTGATGTGCTGCTCGGCTTGTTCCGCCTCCATTTGCTGAAGTTCTTTGACCGATTCACCTTGCATCAGCGCAAGTTGGAAGGGTCTCACCAGTGCAATGGCATTCAGCAAGTTGGACTTCACCACCTCATCTTCCATAATGGCAAGCTTGCTTTGAAGCTTGGCCATCATCACTTCTGGAAGGGCATAGCACACCTTCAGCTGGAGTCAGATGTGCAAAAAGCGAGCGAGGAGCATACAAGGCACAAACAGTAATGTCCAGTAATGTCACAGAATATGGCACTGCATCGGACCTTCATTCTGTGCTGAGCCTTCAACAGTGCATGGGCAGGTAAACCCTGAGTGAAGCACCGACCCACACAGTAATTCACCCAAGCGCAATCCAAGCCACAAAGCCATACCACCCTGCCGGGCCTATGGCTTCTAGGACACCCCTGAGACGAGGTGTTTCGCTCTCCAGGACTTTCTGGAACTCCCAGTTTTCGGCACCAAACGTGCTCCGGACCGCGCTCTTTGCAGCGGTGCAGGCTGTGCAGGTGACATTGCTTGCTGCGTAAGGACTTGCCAGAGCGCATCCCATCTCAAGATTCACAAGGGCTCGGCTAAATTTCTCTTCCAGTGCAGCCATCTCTTGAAGTCCGAAGCTTTTGGCAGACCTGGCGGACAGGTGAGAGTATAGGATGCCCCAAACTCAGCTGGCACAAGCGAACTCAGCCAGCACCGCCAGGGCACAGAGAAGAAGCAAGCCGATGTCGAAGGACCTCCTTGCACCTGCAGGGCTGAAATGTCTACATCACATAGGGCATGCACCCCAAACCAACGAAACATCTCTAGACAATGTCAGCGTCCAACGGCATATAAGGGCTCTGGAGCCCAGGATAAATTAGATAAGCCAAGTAAGACAAACACATTTCGCAAGGCCCTGCAACACGCATCTGAATCAACAAACTCAACAAACCAGGTTGAAGAATGACCTGTGCAGTTTCTGGCCCTTTGCCTCTGGGCAGTGGACTTTGGCACTCAAAAGCTCCTCCAAGGCCTCAAGCCTTCGCTCACAGCCCTTGGGTCCAAAGTTAGCCAGTGGCACGTCAATCGTCAAATCATACTGGCTAAGTCTACTTTAAGTGCTTCGAATGATACCTGCAGGTCCCAAAACTGCTGGACTGACGTGGACTGACAACCCCGTCTTGGCTCCTCACTGTCTTGGCCCTGCCGTGAAAGAAGCTGGCGGTGAGCCCTAGCAACCGGGGCGATGCGCCGAAGTGGCACAAGAGAGCCATGATCTCCGCGTAGGGATGCTTCCCTTAGCTGCCCGGGTGCTAAAGGTGGCATCACCCCCAACTTCAAGACCCAGGCTACTAGTGGCAAGAAGCTAGTAACAAAGGGCATCGCTACTATTACTAGGAGCAAGGACGCTGCTAGTAGCTCCTGGACTCCTGGCATTACTACTAGTAACACTACTAGCTACAAATGACATGGGAAGAGCATAGAACACCGGTGACCGAGCGGCCCACAGCGTAGTGCACTTCATCCAGCACCACACAAGCCAGCTGCTGGGCCTGCAGTTGGCCAGACTCCAATGCAGATCGAACCACCTCGCCCGTCGCCACCACCACCTCAGAGCCACGGTCTTATTCATCTGCTCGTGCACTCTCGCTCTCCTCGCTCTCCTCGCTCTCGCTCTCTCTCTCTCTCTCTCTCTCTCTCTCTCTTTAGCCTTGTCCCGGAATGTGTGGAGATCGGTGGCAAGGTGCCAGAGCAGTAGCACCTACAACAGCAGCAACACTGGTGCTACTATGCAGCCACCTGACGTCTGGATGTGGAGGGCCAAGGTCTCCAACGGCGAGCTGGTTCAAGGAATGCTTCTTGAGATACTCCGCTTGCTGGGTGACCAAAGCCCGGCTATTTACCACGAATACACTCACATAGCCGGGCGCTTTGAACCAATCCAGCAGCATGCACCTAAGCGCACGGTCTTTCATTGAGTCCAATGACTATATAGTAATGAGAGGTGTTTGATGGCGTTTTCAAGTGTACATTCACAATCAACAACATCTTCCATCATTCACAAGCCCCTCGTCTCATTCCTGGCGAGGCGCGCAACCAACGTTTTTCCAGTGCCAGTTGGGAGGTTCAAAATGATGTTCTCCCTCACTGCCCTTTCCAGTGCTTCAACTTGATGAGGCCAAGCCTCATAACCTGGTAACACTTCCAAGCACATTGACTTGAACAGCAGGTAGAGGTAGACATGAACAGTTCGTGACGAAGACCAGTGACCAGAGTAAACTTCGGCCACAACGGTGCCGTAGTTCAAATCTAGTAACAAGAAGCTACTAGGGGCTCCTGGCATCGCTACTAGGAGCAAGGACGCTACTGAGGGCTCCTGGCCGTACTAGGAACAAGAAGCCACTAGGAACAAGAAAGAAAGAATCTGTATTTACAGTAGTTCCAGTTCCTGCAACCTACGCCAGAGTTGCAGGACAAACCATCTCCAATGGCAATGATCTGCATCGAAGCAACGTTCGGCTATCTGCATGGAAACCATGGGCACACATTGGTCCCAATGTTCGTAGTCATAGTGATTAGTGATGATTGATTGGTAACAATGGACCTGTATGTCTCATCGGCGACTTTGGCTTGGCTTCGCATTGTTGCAATTGTTGGTTTGCGGCGCCAAGGATTGCCACAAAACAGAACCGGAAGCTAAGGCATGAAAATGGCGGTTGGTGGCAAAGGGTGGCGCAGAGAAGCTCAGCCAAAGGATACCAGAAAACACAAATACATAACATGTCGCAACATCTCATACCGACAAATCAATGGCCGTGTGCTTTCGGCATTCATGTGCCCCAACACATCGTTTTGTGCAAGGGCCTCTTGATGTGAACCAGCTGCACTTGGCAACGTTCTCACAACATCAGCGGTTTGTCCTTGAACGCCCAACGTCAGCGGTTTACTCAGGACGCATTCTGGCCCAAGTTGGCCCAGCGCATCCAATCATCCCGTGCCGCATGACTGCAATGACAACGATGACACACATTTTCCTGCAAATACAACATGAGTCATGAGTCTTGAGTCCGACTACTTTGTGTCGTTGCAAGGTTCTGTGAGATCAAAGGCTGTACATTCAGCACGCCAAGCAATTCAGGCTCAAACAGGCTCACTTGGAGAGGATCGCCAAAGCCTTCTCGCCCATCAAGTCGCCCATCTTTTTGGCTTCGGCCTTGTCTTCCTCTGAGATATCATCCCAGCTTGCATTGGGGGTGTCATCCTTGCAGTAGGCAGCCAAGCAGCGGGAGATGCCGACACATGAGCAATTAAACTCGCCCACGATCCACTTCTCTTCCTCGGCTGCAGTGCCTGGTGGCGATGCATTGATGAAGTCCGTGGTCCACCAAAGCGGCAACGGCTCATCGGCCAAGTCCAAAGAAGGCATGACGTGGGGCAGGTCTTTCTTGAGGAAATTGTCAGTCAAACTCTTGAAAAGAGGCTCATCTGGACCATAGAAAGTATAGATCGAACCTGTTCCGCCAACTGCGGAGATTCCTCCTTCCTTTGGTTTCTTGTGGATGACGCCGATCAGCGAATCACCGATGAGATTGTAGCGCAGCTCACCTTCGACAATGCGCGGGCAAAAGCGCTGATCCACCAGCTGTCCTCCAGCTTCTTTGCCACCTTCCAAGTACTTGCCCACTCCCTTGGATGTCCATTCTCCGGATTTGTCCGTACGGCCTTTCACGCAAAACTCGATGAACTCACCAACGGTGTGCTCCTCTTCATGGTTGTCATTGGCTTCCATGAGCATTAGTTTTTCCCCATCTTCGCAGGACCTCTCTCCATATTCCTTGCAATAGTTCTCATCCTTTAGCTTAATGATCCAAATTCCTTCTCCAGAGGAGCCACGGTTCTGCTTGATCACTCGAGGCTGAAAAGCCATGGTCTTCTTGAAACCAGCCTCGAACTCCTCTGGACTGTAGTAGGCAAGAGTGTCCTCCAAACCAATGTTCATTGTGGCCACCTTGCACAAAGCATCTTTGGCGCCCATCTTCTCCATGACATCGGGCGATGGCCAAACTTGCTTGCCCGCCTTCCTCAATGCCCGCATGCCATCATCAAACTTTTGTTGGTCGCCTCCATCGGCTTTGATCTGCCCAGGGTTACAACGCACGATGATGAAATCGAAATTCTTGCAAAGTTCGAAGAACTTGTCGTGCTCCTCGTGCGTGTAGTGGATCAGCTGGCAGCTCATTCCAGCCGTGATCATGCCATTGACAATTGGAATGGAATCGTAGCGATGCCCATTGTTGCTCTTGTCCGAGCCTCCATACGGTTGGTTTCGGACATAAATCTGAGCTAAAGCTCCCTTATACTTGGGTGCCGAAGGTTGGGCCAACATGCCCTTGTAGTCTTTTGCAATGACGGTGATGGTGCTGCAATCCACAGGGCCAGGGCATGGATCTTTTTTGTCCACACAGGCCCAAATTTTGGCAAGTTGATCTGGCGGCAGCTCCTTCAAAGCAGCAGCGATCTCCTCAGGGGACTTGCCCTCAATCATGTTCTTGTGTTCACTGGATGCACCACCACCCATGATTGCTACAGCACAAGTGGTTGAGAGCTTAGCTCGTCAAGCTTGGAGAAAGTTTTGGTTCTGTCAAAATGCTTCGGGGCACGAAGGGCAAACTGCAAGCCAAAAACACTCCAGAGCAACCGCGGCATGTCCCTTTAGGTAGAAGACTGGAAACATGTGCTATCAAACGGCCTCTTCGATGAAAATGTGGCATGGCTGGTGGGAGTAGCCATGGGGTTGACTGTTACACAGAAGTGGGTAGTGCATATTGAGTTCTGAATGTAAATGGCAGAGTGGGCAGGGTGGCTGCGCCTCCCGTTGGCATGAAAGGACAAAGGCAGTTCATCATAATATAATGTTCGTGTAACAAGCGATTAGCCTACACGCACCTGTTTCGTCTTGAGCCAAACGAGACCTATCACGTCATGCATTTACAGTGCTATTGTGAAACAACACCCCCCGCTGAGCGCAAGTACGAAGGAGTGAAGTATGTACAGTGTGCATGAATTCAACCAGCTACGAAAAGGCAGCCAGTCCCCCGGCGCGAGCAAACGGTTGCGGATGCTCGCATAAAGCAAACAGTTGCCTTGCCCCTCGTTGGGAACAGGCTGGGCACCGGCCGGAAGTGAGAAAGTCTTGGCACGCTTGGAATCAGGACTTGCACCCTGCCGGCTTCGCGTTTCTGAGCCTGTCTTTTTGCGATGTTGCCGGAAGACGGAGGATCTGGTTCTGTGGACACCTTCGGAAGGCCGGCGTCGCGACTGGGAACATCTGTGGACTGCCCCCTTGACGAACCTTTATGGTCACTATATAGGTACAAAAGATGCGCCCCGCTTTCGACGAAGCTGGACGGGTTCGAAACTGGCTTTCTTTGTAAAGTCACGCGTTGCTGTCAGGAGGTACTGAGCTTGATCGGGGTTAGCGTCGCCCACGGCAACTGACACTCTGTCTCGACGGTCCGGATGTAAGGTTCGGAAGATCCACGTGTTCAGGCCACACTGTGCCACAGTCGAAAGCGCAAAGCTAAGCTGAAAAACCGACCGACAATGCCAAGCGACATGCTGCCAGGACGCAAGACAGTGTTGGTGGTGCCAACAACATGCCCTTTCAACTTCGAGTCCTTTTAAAAAGCCATGTGGCTGGGCTGTTTGCAGCTCCTGTGAACTGCCTTGACATGGCGGTCATTACTTTGGTAAGGTGGTAGATGATTGAGTCTTCTTGGTTTTTGTAACCATGGAACCATAGCGAACATTGTCAAAAAGTGCTCGGCTGTCTCACCGTTTCTGCTGCGTTGACGCCTATGTGCCCAGGTGAAACTGTCACTGGCAGGCCAAATCACGCGGCCACAGTCTGGGTGTCTTGAAGTGGTCCAACCAAGATCTTTGAGCCAAGCATTGAGCTCACCTTGCCAGTGGCCCAGTGGCCTGCTTCGGCCTCCGGCCACCAAGTGAGGTTAAGCTTTCGAAAACATCGCCAAAGAACAAGGACAGTGTGAAAACCTGCCATGAAAACGGGACGCATGAAATGGCCCTGAGCCCGATGGACAGAGGCCATGTCCTGTGTTTTAAGGAAACACTTCTGAAGTATTGCAAAGTCTTCGGCGCGTGGCAATCTGAGTCCCATACCCCACACGCCCCGGAGAATGATCCTATAGTTCTGCACATGAGTCCGCAAACGGTTCTGGAACAGGGGAGGCTTCTGAGTCTCAAAGCACTGGCTTTCCCGGATTCATGACGTTTTTAGGCCGTGGGTCGTGGGAAGATGATGATCGAATGTATTCGAATTTTCCCGCCTGCGCATACAGTGCCGCAACATGCGACGGCGTTGCATTCGGTTGCATTTGGCGCTCCACCTAACTTTGGAATCAGCTTAGCACCTTTCGAACCCATAGCGGCTGACGCGGGCGCTTTCACACAATGCTTGAGACGCTCTCCAGCGGAGGCTTTTCTTTGGCCAGCAGGCAAGGATGGCTCGCACCTTTAGGTTGGGCGACGTGGGGACGATGCTAATCCGCTTCTGGATGCGATGGAAACATTCCTTCAGAATTGTCCTGGCGCTGCACAAAAAACAACCTGGCACTTGTGGCAAACCCAACGCACTGGGGAAGGTGGATCGAACCCTGTCGAACTGGAACTTGACTGATGGCTTGGATTTGACACTGTTACTGTTGTGTTTCGGTTCAAAAGTTTTCGGAGTCTTTGCCACTGCCAGAACTCTTAAACTGGGACAGCTGTAGCAATTTCACACTGCAGCCTGCACGGGAACTACGCTCGTCGGCGTGACAAATGCAGTGAGGATATAGGTTTGGCAGCGCCGCAGGGACCAGGTGGCTGTGGAACGTCCGCTCGAAGCCACAGGATTTCAGCACCATGTAACTAAGGGCTGACGTCATCACCTCCAAGAAGATCAATCAGACGCTGCGCCTTGAACCAAACGCCGACTTGACAGGGCAGCAGCATTACAGTACCAGCCTGGAGCGGGAGTCCAACATGTTCGGAAAGCCTTCTTGTCTACTTTAATGATGGCTTTCTGCATCGCCCGACGCCATACCCGCTTTCGAACAAGAGACCTTCTTTTCCATCCTCTCCCACACGCATCCTGATCAACAGCCTCAAAACCATCCAGGGAGATGTCATGCTTCCACGCGCAAAAAGCCCACATCTTCCGTGCGACAAGGATGCCCTCGCCCATACTTGCTACTCAATCTGCCTAGCGCCTAGCTGTCAAAGACAAGACAGCCACTAGGCACATGGGCAAAGAAGGACCGCTTGCCCTGCCAAATTCTCCCGTGAAAATCCAAACCAAGCGGTGATAGGCTGGCCTGACATCGAAGGTTTGGACATCAGCCATGTCCGAAACCAAGCACGCCACAGACTTGGTGAGATTGAGATTGGTCTCAAATCACGCGCTCCACCTTGCGATCATGGCCGCACAAGCCCTTGCCAAGGTCAAAGCGACGAACATCGCTCCAAAACATGTTGCGCAAGCCATTCGCCGGGTTTCTTGGGCCATGCTGCCCGTTCGCAAGCGCTGGACTTCACGCAAGCTCTGTCACGCTCTCCCTTGCCTTGCCCCTGGATCACTTCTGCGCCGGCGGACAAGGAACATACTTTGGCTTCTTGCGCTGCTTTCACTCTTTTGCTTCCTTACTGTCCTTCTTAGGCAACCTTCTGTAAGCAAAGCTGACAAGCCACTCTACCTTTGAGCAACCCACAGGCTCCGGATTCTACGTTACCCCCGCCCGCCAATTTCTCGGCGCATTATGCTTCGGTTCATGTGTGGACCTGGTTGCAAAGCCAGAGCAGTCAGCACGTCCTCCGCAAAGGGGCATCATGGAAAAGACACGCCCAGCACGCTCACTTGCCCCGATGACACAAGCTGGTGCCATTCGTCGGGCCACTGGGACACTGGCAAGTCCTTCAAACAACCCCAATCTGTCCCTGTTGCGCTTGGGATCAAAAAGCCGAGTCATGACCAACAAAGCGGTGATGGTCGCGCGCGTGAAACAACTCTCCGGCCCAATTTTCAGGCCTGGCCAACTAAAGGCACGACGAAGTGTGCACCCTTCGGCACCCTTCAAGGTAGGGGCCTAGCCTAACTAAACTGTTTTCTTCCTGGCTTCGCGGGCTTGTTGATTCCGCCGGAAACTTTGGTGGCTGATTCCGCCAGCTGCTGGGGACCTTGATGGGCGGGGGCTCGCTGATTCTGCCGGATACTTTGATAGGTGAGTGGTGCACGAACCGCCCATCATTCAAAGCACCTGGCAAACCCAAGCCCCAACCTACGACAAGCGCTTGCTCTACATAGAGGCGCGCGCGTGCATGTGCGTCCAATCTACCCACCCTGCCACCTAAAATCATTGTTACTTCATGTTACTTCCAAGCTAATTAAGTGTTCTCGTCAAGAGTACGGCATGCTCTGCCTGACATGATTTGTGGCACTGCGGAACCCCTAATTCCCTGGTTGCGACAGGTGGAGTGGAGTCTGCAAAATTCTTTGCCACGCTGGCTTCGGCTTTGGCCACACGCTTTCCAGATTTTTTGGCTGTGGGACGTGTGGCTTGTCAGATCTTGTCAGTAATAGGCCGCTCCGAGCCGTCAATGTCAGCGGGCTCGTCACATTTGTGAGGAACTGCACTTCAACATCTAATAGATTTTGTATTGAGGCCGTCTTGCGGCCATTGACAATGACCGAACCGCAAAGCTTTGGCGGCTCTCAGAACACTAGCTCTATGATTGCAGCACTTGTTGAGCGATGAGCCTAAGTCCGCTGGTGAATGCAAATCATCCGTCAACAACATCTGGGCGTAAGCAATCCATCAGTTCGCGGCACGAGCTTGGCAGGCGAAGGGCAGGCCATATGTGCCTGGCGAAATGCGACTCCTGTCCCATTTGCTTTCACAGCGATTTCCCTGCAATGACTTCAATCATCTTCAAATCCAAGAGGCTTATGTTTTCTCCTATTTGTCGTATCGTGCCACTTGTGCCCAGGACCTGGCATAAGAAAAATACCCAAATCCTGAATTGAAGTAGTAAGTCTGAATTTTCATGGATTGGGAGAATTTGGAAGCTGACCATGCTCAAAAGGATGAAGGACGCGATGATTGCGCAGGCCAGAAAGTCCACCCTGAAAAGCAACTTCATGGCAAACTGATGGCCCACTCATTCCCAACAGGGAAGTGCACAGGTCCTCGACAGCATGCCGGAGACGGTGTGACAGTGGCGGATGAAGTCAGACCTGAGTGTACCGAAGAACAAGGATGAGAATGCCAAAGAAAGCCTTTATTCAAAGCCCAAGAGAGGCGTCGACGCTCTTCTTTCCTTGGTGGTGTCTCTTGGGGTGGCTGCTGCTCGCAACTTCAGGAATAACCAGCCGCCCGCCCGGCCCCACAGAAGCGTAAATGACAAAGTTATAAGTTATAATGTAATTGAGTTCTGAGTTCTCCACACCGTCTGGCCTTAGCCACCCGATGCCGAGGAAAATGCAAAAAAGAACTTGCAAACTCTACAAAGTTGGAAGCTCAACAATCGTCACTGGCAGAGTCCATGTTTTTAGGATTCGCCCCACCCGAAGCCAGGAGTTGGCGGCAAGCCGTCACGTCTGTAGCCACTTTGGGCGGATGACGGTGAAGCATCAGTAGGGAAAGAAAACCTAGAGGATCGTGGCCATTGTGGTTGCTGTGCATTGGCCTGTGCAAACGCCTCAACCTTTGCCTCATCTGCAAGTTCCTGTGCAAGGGCACGGTTTGCCAAAGCACCCTCGTGGTTTGGGACAACTCTCAGGGCCGCGTTGCAATCACGTTCGGCACCGGCAAAGTC